ATTTCCATGGGATTGCAAAAAATGTTTCGGAAGTTTCGAAAATTGATTTGATCCAGCGTTTCGAAGCTTCGGAAATTGATTTGCAACGAATTGCAAACTTTAGCAATCGCAGAAACTATTCTGCATGAAAAATTTTCTGCAAATCGGTATAGAAATTTCAACGATTATTTTGAAGACCGAGATTTAGAAATTCCTGATCACTGCTTGCAAAAGCAATATGAATTGTCCACGCCAACTTTTCGCTAGAAATTCGATTTTTTCTCTTTATAAAGAGAAAGAGAAATTAAAGAGGCCGTCAACAAAAAATAATGAAATTGCTCTATTTCGTTATTTAAGTATAAATACATTTGTGAAATGTCAGAACGTTTTAAACAACTTTCACGCTCAACACTATGCAATTAACACGACAAATTTTGTCAAGCTTGTACATATTTTAAGTCCAATTTCGTGCAATTCCAAAACTGTATCAAAATTAGAAATTCATTTCAAACGCCTCTGGAATAACTGAAATATCCAACGCGTTACACGTGCGAACGGAATGGTCGCAACCGCAACTGTTAAATTCAGTTAAATTGCGTTTTTAACCAAATTATTATATGCGTAGAAAATTCCAAATTAACACCTAAATTACCAATTCTTCCGAATAAAGTTTCAATAACAATGATGTTTCTAATAATGTTAAACGATATTTGCAGCGTGTACGTTTACTTGATATTAGAAAGATAACGCTGTATGATGATCGAACGATATAATGAAAATATCAATCGGTAAGAGTTGAAAATTACAAATAGAAGAGTATCTAAGTAACAAGAATATCGATTTTCCTCGAGTCAAATTTAAGTTTCACCGAAACGCAAAACTTGCCAAGTTTCGACACACATTAGTGCGATTTATATAGAAGTTTGCTTTGACTTGCGCCGGAATAATTTCAATTATTCGGAACATCACGAGGCTGATTTTAATCCTTGGTCTTTATTTCCTTTCGAAGCACTCGAAAAGTAACTTTCATTTGATTTTTCTTTTTTCTTATTCGACTAGCGAACTACGCGATAAAATTGACAAAAGTGATAGAGATTACTAATATACGTACGAGTCTCGATAATTCCTATTATCTCTATATTTGAAAAGTATACCTTTTAAAAAGTTTCACATTTTTTATTCATCGATGTAAAAAGAATACGTATATTAATAAATGTCAAATGTAAAATGTTAAATCTCGTTACCTTTTCACCTGCAAGCCGAGCAACCTATCATTTTCGTGAAATAAATACACATATTCGGTGTACATACATACATATGTAATCGGTAGAAATTGGAAATTTCAATTGTTGGAAGTGCTAGTCACGCTTTCGTACAATTTTAAACGTTATTAAGCAAGACTTTCAACGTGAGGTGAGTGCCTGTGGAAACTCAGGCGAATGATCATTAAAATTTAATTTATATAAATTGACATCAATTTTTAGAAATATTTCTAATCTTACTACATTATCGTGCGATTTAACCATCAAACACATATCAAATGGAATAATTCGAATTTGTTGAGAAAACTCAAATAATTGATTTTAATGGAAGAACAAAATTTCTTTTGGTATTATTAGAAACCAAAATCATGAAACAAACCGCCCTTAGAAACGAAAAATCGTAAAAAGGAAACACGTCCTACATCCCATACACCGTATACAAAAGAAATACCACGTCAAACATGATCCCGTAAAAGTCCCACGTAGGAACGCTCTCCTACCCCAGAAAGTAACTTCCAGTTCCCCAGTTCCTAACAACCCTAACTCTTCGAATCTTTCCGTCAGATCAGCATCTGCCTTGAAAATATCTCGGTCGAGTCGGACAGATCGATACTTTTTCAACGAGCGAGCATATTGGCGTGGAGGCACCACGTGCGAGGCTATTGGACCCACAGACTCCACACGCGCAGCTTAAGCTACGTCCTCGCTGGAGCGACAACGAGACATTTTTTCGCGGCCTGTCGTTGTTGCACGTTTCAGTAGCCGATAAATATCAACTCGCAGAAACATTTTGTCCACGTTGAAGCAACGTGATCGGAGTAACGTTTCCGTTTCGTTCGGATCTCAAAACCACGTTTGCTCTAGCAACAAGTAATCCAAATGCATCGTGGAGGAGTCGACGAACTGTGCACACCGAAGCAACGTCTGTTTCCGTCGTTGCGTCTCTGTTACTTTTCTCTGATCTTTACCATCCGAAATGGAAACAAGCAAGAAGCAGCAACTCGTGCCACTGACAATAGAAACGCGAAAGAGCACGAAGAAATATCGGGCAACGACCAGTAATTTTTTCAAGAAGCATGCAACATCCGCAGGAAGCAGTTCGCAGTTGCTTCGATTAGAACGCTATTTTACTTAAAAAATACGATATATCAAGGAAAAGCTGCTTGTTGTTTGTTCGGTGAGGATGAAGCTTTTGGGGTTGTCGTAACGCTAATACGGTGGTGGCATGTGCCACAGCCAGGAACTATACGGTCCTTTATAGCCGCGCACGCCTGCCATCGTTCCGCCCACCGCGAGATATCGCGGATATCGCGACCCGCTAACAACCATTTAATGGATCAAAACAGAGACAAGCGTTCCGGCAATTCCCGAGATAATTCGCTCTAATTAACGTCGATATCGCGGCCGATCCAATGGCTAATGAACCAGTGAAATTTCTCAATGAACGATGGGAGAAAGGAAATTGTGAGAAAGTATGCTCCAGTCCGTATGAAAAATTTAATATGTACATGTGATCCTATTATCAATAGAATAGAGTTTACTGTGAATAGTGCCGCATATTTGGAGTATAAATTTGCTTATCTCGCTTCAGTTCTCGGGATTGTTAACGTCAATGGAATTTGATACCGGTGCCGGACTGTGGAAATGATATATGAGTGAGATTTGTTAATTGGCCGACTAAATAAGAAATTGGATATTTACCACAACTGTCAGCAGAATGGCATAACGGTTCTGACGTGATTTAAAGGAATCAAAAGAAATATAATAAACAGCTAAAATTGTCCTATTACGTTGTATCGTACGTATGTATCGTTTCTTTTCGATAATAAATGATTATAAAATATCAACAAACTAAATGACTCGACTATCTAGTAATATTATTACAAATACCTCATACCTAACAATTATCAAAAAATAGAACTGATTTGTGTAAGCATAATGACGTCAAACATTTCTGAATATTTAGCATGTTAATGACATTAACAAGAATTCATTCGTAATTTTCATTTCATCCATATAATTTCGGATTAAAATGGAATCCATTTTTATCTTAATTGAAAATTAAAAGTCAAATTGTGTAAATAACGATAGTCATATATTCATATTCCTGAATATAAAAGTAATAAGTATTATATAATCTTCAGCTTTCATTTGACAAATTATAAATCGCCAACATGTAACCTGAAATAATTAATTCCTCGTAAGCAACTTCACGCCAAACTCAAAATTACGTCAGAAGTTACATTTACACAAAATAACCGCTTTCTAAGCGTCATTCTTGCGCAAACAAACGCAACAGTTGAAATCCGCTATGAAACGACAACACTGGCATGGCGGTAAAATTCAAATTCTCCAACTCCGTCATCCAACTCCAACGCATATACATATAACCATTATCTATCTCACGCACTAGCTCACAAAACTATTTGTACACAGAAAATTTTTATTTCTATATTGTATGTATGACATGTATAACTATTATCATGATTATATTGATCTTTAAAGTCAATCTGAAATTGTATATAAACACATATTACTGTATACATGTATTTAGTAAAAAATCAGTACACTATATTAACACATAAATATTAAATATATCCCCATTGAATATTGAGGTTTGTTAATATAAAGCATAATTCACTGTTTAAATACTTTTGTGATCGCTGGAAAGTACATACTTGTGTCAAATGTCTTGTAATTTCTATATATATTCTCAGATGTGCTTCAAACTTTACAATACAATTATGGTAGCCGAATCCCGTAACAAAACTAATAAAATTCCAAAATATTTCATTACGTACAAGACATATTCATAAAAGGTGTCCACAACTTTTTCAATACCTTCGTAAACCTTTGTATTTGTATAGAATATACATATACGTATAAAAATCTAACGTTAATTCGTTCATATTATATGAATACATATTGAGAGAGCATAGAGTAAAACGTACGAATAAACATTACATACATGCACATATTTTAGATATTATAGGAGAAATATGTATAAAATCATATAGTTGTTATGTATACACTGCCTATCATAGAGATTAGAGCATGTATACTTGGCAATTTTGTAGACTATTACGTGTTGGAGCAAAATATAACCAACAAAACACGTACGATTACAGACAGTAAAGTCTAAGGATATATTAAATTTAATTTTCAAATACCTTCGTCACTCTGTGTACGTCATGCTTCTAAGATCTCTAAACTCGACGAAAACTCGTGGAAAAGCACAAACACACGGAACAAACGGATCCATAAAACGTGTTTCCGGCATGGTCGCAGCCATGAAACGTCGAAGAGATTTTGGCGCGTAACGGAACGCGCGTGTCTACCGTGAATCTCGCCGCGCAAACGTAAACAGAGAATAGCGCAAATATTATGATTTCGCGGTTCGACGCCGATAATCGTGACCTAGACACGTACGACTTCTATACGTGCTAACTACATACGCTTAGAAAAATTCCAATACGCAAAACAAACGATGGGTCGTGAAATACTACATAATAACGAAGTAAATTTGAACGGAGCATCGAGTGAACGTTCATTGGACATGCGCCCTTGAATCACACGACTAACCGGTGAGGTACGTACACACTGATTTTGGAGCACGCGCGAACGCCGAGTGAATGCCGCAACGAGATTTCGCCGGGCGATCGCACCTTTACTCGTCGCTTAGTGACGCAGCACGCGGACACGACGACCGGCTTCAATGACAAACACATTGTATATATATATATATATATATGTACTCACCGTGCAAACGGTAGGACGTGGCCCACAGGCGAGAAGATCGTATCCAAAAAAAAAAAGTGTTCCCTGAGAGAGATCGGCGACGCAGTAAAATAATTGTACACACACCGTGAATATCCTTGGCACAAAGCACACAAACGACAAAGAAGCACAGGTTAGATATATACAATATTTTCTTATTTTTTTATTTTCACGAGATGTCGCGGTGATTATAACGACTCGATCGGGCGAAGATGGTCTCACTTTCGAAAACCGGAGATCGATGATTTCCGCGCACGCACTACACGATCAGTGAAGTGAACGAACGCGCGAACGCCGCGTGAATATCGAATCGAAGACAACGTCACGGAGACAAGGGAGCCAGCAGGAGGACGCAGCCGCCGATTGTCACGGTTCGCGAAAACGAGAGACAGGCGTTTGGAGGTTAGGTGATGGCGCGTCGCGAATCACGGTAGCCGAGCCGGTAAGCTTCGTTGGCTTCCGGCGAGATCGGGCGATTCTCTTTCTTCCGGTGCACCCGCGTGACGAGAGAGAAAAAACGTATTCAACCGACGTCGTTTCACACTGAGCTCGTGTTACACACTGGAAAACTAGCGGCCGGGCACGAGCGCACACGCCGCGCGAACCCGCGTACAACACGAACGAGGAAACAGATGACGGACGAGGGAAGAGGCGAATCGTGAGAATAGAGTTAGTATAGAAAGGAAAAAAAAGAAGGAAACGCTGCGACGAACGAAGTTGCGAGGACGAAACGTCGCGCGAACACGAAAACTGCGCGTAATAGATCCGGCTAAGAGTTGTAGGCACGCCACGAGTAGAGGTAGGCGACGCTAAAACTTCGCCACGAGTCGTGGCACGCCACGAGAGGAGCCGAGGGGACAGAGGAGTAGAGCGAGACGACGAATCTAGAGGGGGAAGAAGAAGATGGACGAGGGGATCGAAGGGAGGACGATGGCGACCACTCGACTCTGGGCTGTTGAAGGGTACGGAGAGGTCAGAGGGGGGAATATGTCGACTCGCCGGAGGGACGTGGGGTGATTGAAGCGACTAGGCTGGAGGGGTGCAGCCGGAGAGGGGCGGCAAAGGATCGAGGGAGGGGAAAACTCGCAGCCGGCAACAGCCGACTCGACTCGACTCAACTCCGTTCTTCTTCTTCTCGTTCTTTCTCTGTCTGCTTTTCGCTGGCACCCTTTCTCCGTCTCTCGCAAACATACGATGTGTATTGGTGTATCGGCACACGATTCAAGCCCCTCTGTGCCGCTCCTCGTGTAGACACCGACGCGTGTATACGGGGTGGTGTCTTTTAACGCGGCGCAGCGTGTGACATTTCAGCGATCTAGCGGGATAAAATTGTTGAAACAAGGAAATCGTGGGATCTTTTACTAGCATGAAACGTAATATTCAAGTAAAAATTGATACGTATAATGGTGAAATGTATTGGCAGATTATGTACTTTGTTTTGTAAAATTATGGATTTGAAAGCAATACGAGTTTTTAAAATATAAGAAATAAGAGTTGGAGTGAAGAGTTAAAATAGAAAATAGGGGTTATGAGATCGGTCTTTTTTTCAAAATAATTTTTTGTTTCTTAAATAAAATAAATCTTAACGAAGAAACGAATAATACTAATCGACTTCACGAGATTTATTGAAATGTTACACCGATGTAACGACGAAGACGATGTAACGATGAAGATTTTGCATAAAGGGACTCGAACGTAGTATATGCAAGGTGTTATTAGACTATTGTTGTCTGATTCGTGGGAGCAGTCGTCCCGTTGCCAAGAGGCACAGTCAACCTGCGACATTGGACGCGGTTTTCTGCCATGGTTATCGTCCGTTTAACTCACGATTGTTCTACGATGGTGCGTTCCGATAGATGTGAAAATCGATACGCATATGGCACACGTATTTCAAAACTGACACGACACGAACAAGTTGTTCAGGAAAAGCGAGAAGCCATTTGAAAAATGATAAAAAAAATTGTTTCTCCTAAGCACGTAATCTAGGTAGAAGGACTAGGTAACACAGTACTAAATTATTTTAAATTGTGGGACACTTTTGAAGTAGATAATGCAATATGTCGCTGAATATTCACATTATATTCTATAATAGCTATCCTGTTGGTACAATAGGAAATATAACGAAATATGAATTTAATACAATGTATGGTTATAAATTACGTCCAGGATATATAAGTAATAAGTCTTTTGACTTGCTATTCTTCGACGCATGCGCACTCCAACAGCGCGATAATCGAATCATATATCAAATGAGACGTTCTTTACGACTGTATAATCTAATAAAGTACAGGAATAAATTTTTATCAAACCAATTTGAATCCCATAATGTATAGAACCACACAATAGAAAACTAAAATAATTCATCGAACATTTCGCTATGTATTTGAAGGAATATTTACATAGTCAGATCAATGGTCCGGTTAATCCGAGTGCAAATACCGTGTACAAACGAGAAATGATAACAGTTGTGACCAAAATTTAAAAAATTATAGCATAAATTTATATTTGTATGGACACAATTACAAAAATGATGTAGGCAGAGATTTTCTTTACTCGTTAAATACTTTATTTTGGATGTATTGTATGCTTTTGTGTATTATATGCATTCTGCACATCTTTTTACCTTCAAATTTTCCATAAATTCATAAAACTCCACGGTATAGTGATTTTATCAAGAATGGACGATGGTCAAAAGTAACAAAATTTTCGGAAAATCGCCCTGCTGGACCAAATATTCCACAGTCTAATGCTATCAACTCATGCAGCATGAGTGAATTCATTCCCGTTCAAAGACACCCGGTGTATGACCGTGCACACGGCCGCATAGGCGAAAAGAATACGCGGCTGAGCAAGGTGAGGAACCGAGAGGGCACGACGAGGGCCCTGAGAAAGAGCTTCGAGTATGACAAAGATGGAACAACGCCTATGAAAACGGACGAGGGACGTTGGAGGGCCAGAGGAGAGTTAGCGGGAGGGAAACGAACGGGAGACCTTGCACAGCGTGGCTCCGAGTCGCGTAGAAAACGCCGCTTTGTGTTAGGGTAGCCTGTGCATAAGAGAGGAAGTACAGGTCTAAAGGAAAAGAAGGCCCTCGTGCGTCTCCGCTGGCGGCGATTCGCAGGCGTAAAGGCCTGTTCACATGGCCGTTCTCCACGGCACGCACGAAGACGCTTCGATTGGGCTGCTCCCGTGATATTCCGCGCTCGTTCTTTTCTCATCGCTGTTTCTCACGGAACCGCCGAGGCTATCGAGATTAACGATGAAAGCGCGGTTGGAGAAGGTTTTGGAATAGAATTCTTGGTAGACGTCTTGAATTTATGTTATTATATTTTAATATTTCACTTTTCCTAACATTGAGAGAACACGTGATTCTTTAGATATCTTTTATTAGATATTCTGAATTTTCTTTGATCCATCTTGTTACCATCTTGATTTGAGAACCTGCTTCCTCTCCTTTCTTGAGAATATTTTATGTTTTATTACACGTGTTTAATATCTACGCGTACTCCAAGTGATTTATGTTAATGATATTACGTACATTTAACATTTGCGTTAAAAATGTTTATGAAGCAGGAAAATAGATAATAAATAATCGGTTGCGTGGAAAAGTCGTTCCTGGAAAGTTCGTTTTTTGAAGTATTCGCGAGTTGTAAGAGCGTTCTGAAAAATCGTTTGGAACGAGTGTTATTTGTAAATTGAATTCACGTGTTTCAAATATTTCTCGCGAGGCCAATTTTTTCCCGCGCACATTTGAAAGCAGACCGCGGTACGTGGAATTTCGATCGCACGAGTTCGTCGAATTCCTCGACAAAAACGTTGCAAGAAATCGAAACGTTAACCTTCAGATATAAATATCTCGGGAACAAATATGAGCGGACAAAAATTTCTCCAGTTATTTATTTATATAGGGGCGTAGCTATTTTTTTAAACGATCGCACATAAAATGGCGTTTTTTTAAGTTAATTGAAAAAAGTTTGAATGTTTCATATCTTTGAAGTTCAATTTGATTAATATCATTCTATTAAAAAAAAAAATTATATAAAATATGCTCACATTGAGATTTTTATAAATAAAATTCTATATTTCGTTCTGTTTTGTTTGCAAGCGCAAATGAAACTTTTATCCGGGCATTTTTATATTCCCATGTAGATCGTCAATGAGTTTGTTAATTAACCGAAAATTTTTTGATAAAACTCTCGAAAGAGTTGAATATGGGCAGGTGCATCAACGTTATCGCGCGCTCCATCGTGAGCGATGCAAACACAGCCATTAATTAACAAACCTAACGAGTTTTTTAAACTTTTTCCACCCATTTTATCCGCGAATTGCAACCATTAAAGTGGTTAACTGTAAATTAACGAAAAAGTTATACCAGTCATGAATTTTTATTTAACTATCGAACAAACAATGGCTGTCACAATTATATAACTAAATTATAGCTGAAATTCCATAAAGACAGACTTTAGTTTTCGAAAACCTCAAATTTATGTACAATATATTAATCTTTTTCGCTTCACATTGTACCATAGCCTTCAAATAACGGCATAAGAATTATAAAAGGAAAGATTACATATGTACACAGAGCCAAAGGGCCCAATCTTCGCTAGGTAATGTGTAGACGAGCCTTAAGGAATGGAGTAGGCCGTGAAACGAAAAAAGATGCGACGCGTTACGGGCACGGCGTAAGAAAACTGCATCGAACAGTCCAAAATAAAAGGCTATAAGTTGCCGTCCCTGATGTTTCTCGGAATCCTTTAGCGGGCTCTTCCTGTCGCTGGACGTCGCACACGCGATCTATCGACCGATTAATATATACATACTCGAAAAGTCATTCGTTAGTATCGCGCGGGTTATATAAAACCACGCAACACCAATGTTACGTAACGACAAACGCGAAATGGCATTCTTCGCTAACGACAGCCCATATATGAATATTCGAATTACGTAAAAGCCTTTTGTTTGATAATAGTAAATTTATATAGCTGATAGCTTTATGGACTTTTACGGGAGTTCTCCTTAAGCTGCGTCCTTAACGAATCAACAGCGAGCAACTTTTTGTCAATGTTGCATGCTTCTTGAAAAAGTTGCTGGTCGTTGCCCAATATTTCTCCATGTACTTTCGCGTTTCTATCGTCAATTGCACAAGTTGCTGCTTGTTGCCTGTTGCTTGTTTACGTGAACAGCATTTTTGGAGGTTATGAGACAAAGGAGTTTTAGGAAGAGGGCGCGTCGATCGACGGCTACAACACTGTTAAACCAGTCTGCATGGGAACGTACCCATAGAATCCTGGCTGGCCGCGTACACAAAGGACGAGCCACCTTCTACGTGTAAACTCGTGCCAGGAGGGATCGTATTTGCGCACACATCGGCGAACAGGTTTCTGGATGTCCTCCTGCGCTGCTGCCGTGCGCATGATTGTCTTCGAGAGGTTCTAAATTAGGAGAGCTATACAAGGTGGCGTAGAAGAAAGGAGATGAAGGGCAGAATGTCGCAGGCATTCGTGTTGAACACGATGTCCCAATGGCATTACGTTAATGTAACGATCAACACCAACGACGAAGAAAAGTTTAATTAAACTGGAATCCCGGCGTGCCTCGCGTCAAGCTTTAATTACCGGTAAATTGGTAACATTATTACGAGAGGAATAAACCGGTCGGTTTTTCAATGTTTCGTTATTGCGACGACAATTCGTTTAGCTGGACGATCGACGAAAGAAGCAAATAAAATCATCTATTTGCGGCCAATGAAGACAACGGTTCATGCTGATGAGTTATCATTTCACGCTGGACGTGGCCCAAAATACACGTTGTCAATTCCACGCCGCCATTATAC